AATAAGTGGTATACGTTAAGTATATTATGTTATATAATTGATTTACAAAGAAACTGTCTATATGACGTTTATAAACTTTTCTGTGATTAATAAATGATTTCTGGATTCTGTTATATTTAAAACAAAAAAAAAGAATTTTTTTTGTTGATCAATTTCCTTGGGCTCCCCGTTTTTGAATCAAATCCTTAAAAAATCCATAATAAATGGCGAACAAGATAAAATAGGTAACAGAGATGCGTGTAAAAGAAAACATTTAAATAATTTTAATCAAGTTCTTTAGACGCCCCGAAAAGGTGTCTAAGAACCCAATTTAAGTAAGTTTACATATTAGCCCCTTTGTCCTATAATAATTTTTATAATTTCTTAAAATACGTTCAGTTTGCTTTTTATACATTGTAATGATATTTATTATCTCGTCAGACTGTTTTTTTTTCAAATCTTACCAGTTAGTATGTTACACGGAGTTCAAGGAACATTCACAATTCCAAATGTAAATTTTATTGTGAATATTAATAAGTTTATATTTTTGTTTTTAGATTTAAAAAACCTTATTTTTAAAAAATTACTTTTTTTTATATTAAATCGCATTAGTATTCCATTTGACTGGCGCTAAACTAAGTAGACAGTATAAATCTTAATGGCGTTTTTTCTTGCACAATAATATTTCCGCGTTCAACTTCTCTTATAACTGCTCAAGAATTAAATCTGAATCTTTACATCCCTATAAACTTTAACTGATTTTTTGCTTTTAATCGTTATTGTGACCTTATCCCGCGCTTTCCTAGAAAAATAATCGATTGCTATAATAATGTAAATTTTTTTGTAATATTAAAAATAAAAGCAGCTGCAACTTTCACACCAATTTCATATACAGTAACAAATTTTTACTTTTTTTCAGACTGTATTTCTTGCATCTAAATACTTATTCAAGTTTTTTTTTATAAAATTTGGTTTATTTTAGATCTTAACTTATTAATGCTGTCCTTTTACAATTTTTGTCACTCTGTGCACTTATTTAACATACTTTTTCCAAAAAAAATAAATATTTTTTAGAGCTTTATTCAAGCCAAGTTATGGTAAAAATGATTGGTTTTAGCTGTAAAATTCTTCAATGTACGTTTTTATAGCGTTATTTGGTTTTTTTGTTTTACATCAAACGATAAATTAAACAAAAAAAAGAATATTTTTATTTTACTTAGTATGATTTCCTTTTGCTCTAAAATATGCAAAATGTCTTTTGTAAAAGCTTAAATCCAAGCCCTGATACAATTATTATGGAATTTGCTGCCATTTACGAACAATACCTTTTTTCAATTCATCTAAACTTTTGCTTATAATAGCTCAAAGTGTCTCAATTGTATTTAAATCTGGAGATTGTGCAGGCCAATATAGAAGTTTAAATTGTTTTGACTCGAAATACAGCTTTGTAAGCTTTGCAGTATGCTATGGATTATTGTCTTGTTGAAAAATGTAATTTTGCTGACCCATTAATCTAGCCAAATCAGGTAAATTATTAAATAAAATGTTCACATATAATTCAGCATTCATTTTACCTTCAATAAAAACAACCTTTCCTAAACCAAAGTATGAAAAATATCCCCATGCCATTGCTGACCCTTCAACATGCTTTACAATAGAAGACAAATTCCATGTTTAAAGGCATGCGCACCGGCTTCACACCGCACAGAAATTTTACCATCAAAGCAAACAAGGTTGAAAATGCTCTCATGTAAAAATTATCCTCTTTACCTCATTATCTATAAATAGTAAAAAGCGTCTACTTTTCTCAAACCGGGCCAAATTTTTTTTGAAAGTCGTGGTTTTTTTATTGGAGTAAAAGCTCTAATATTATATCATTAAGTGTTCTTTTATTAGTTGAATAAGAAATCCTTTGATGGCTCTTCGCTTACAGTTTAATAGATAAATTTCTTAATGATGTTTTAGGTTTTTTTATTAATTTTAAGTAAAGCTGTAACATCATTAGCTGTAACTTCTTTTTCCTCCCGAACCTCTTGGATCGTTCAATTGTGCCTTTTTCTTTCATATTTTTTACAATTTTAAATATTGTACTTTGTAAAATCTTAAATTTTCTTGCGATTTCGACCTGAGGCATTTTTTTGTTGGAAAGTAAAAGAATTTCAATTTTGCCTTTTAAAGTCGATTGCATACAGGTGTGGGTTAACTTTATATTATATAAAAAAATATTTGGCGACAAAAATTGTAAGTTTTTAAAAAAATTTTAATATTTCTTTATTTTAAACAAAAAAATAATTAAAGGTCTAGCTTCAAAAATGTGTATAACTTTAAAAAGTTGTAATGCAAAATTGTCTAAATAAATTACAATAGTTATTTATCAAAAAAATCTTTACATGTAAAAAAAAATGTTCCTTTTTTTTGAAACAAACTGTACAATTTTTTAGAGCGTTTTTCTGGCATTCATACTCATTATCAAGAATCTTATAATAAAAAGCTTTAGATTTTAATATACGCAAGAAAGCGATTTTTGTATTTAAGGAAAAGCGTTTGTTATTAGAATTAATGTTTAGAGTACAGCATATTCATGAAAAATTTTTATCTTTTATTAAATTATTAAATGTGTTTTATATGGGGAACTGAGAGAATCTAGTCTTTTTTAAATGCTAAACTATGTGCAAAAATATTCATCTATTGAGACCAAATCTTTTATAATTATTATTTATTTTTAAAACTCGTTGTTTGTTTTCATGTTTAATGTTATTAAATTGTCGATGCTTTATGATAAGCATAAGGATCTAACGTATTTATATAATATCAAACCCTGTTTGTTAACGATTCTAAAAAATTTTATAATATGAGCCCTTTTTTGCCTATGTAAGTTTTTGTAGCTTTAAAAACCAAATTGTGTGAAGTTTAATTTTGTTTATTCGCTACGCTGTTAGAAATAAAAAAAAATTTTTATTTTTAAAATATAAAAAAAATGAAATTTTTATTGAGGATAAATATTAATACCCCAAAATTATATATTTCCAACTTTCGAATCTATTCTACTAAAAATTGTAAAGATTGACACACGGGTTAAGCCCTTTGCGGTTTTTAACTACTTAGATATAATTAATGCTTGTATGCATTTTTGATATTTTAGGTATAAAATATTTTTTTATTGTAAATTTTATTACAAAACAAATAAATTATTAAAATAACAGATTCAATGAGCAACTATGTTATAAAATATACAAATAAACTTTTAAAAATTTTAATGTTGATCATTTTTTTTAAAATCATCCCTTAATATTGATAGTCTACCGTAAAATGAATTAAATCTTATGTCAACGGAAAATATTAATTTATTAACTTCAATAAAATCACAACAAGACGTACAGCAATAGATACTATCATTAACTTTATGTAAAGTTTTACAAATCGACTTAAAAATTAAAAGTTTTTGAGACACGTCTGCATACTTGTCAAGTTGATTATACGCTAGATCTAATAAATGTAAAAATTCTTTCCTATTATACTTTTTCCTCGTGTCAAATCTAATTGCACTTACCGTATCTAAAAAACTTGAAAGATTTCTTAGAGCAGAAATGTAATTTTGTTTCAGATCATCAGAAAGATTAAATATTTCAATGTTCTTAATATATTGCAGTATTTTTTTATTAATATTCGATTTACAAAACTTTCTAAAAGCTTTTTCAGAACTCTTGTATTTTTCATAAAATTCATGTTCCTTTGCTGTAAAAATTTTAGCAAAAGCTTCCTTTCTCCGTTTGCTTTTATTACCGGATTTTTTTTCATTTTTAATGTTGTCTGTTTTTGGTTTTTTCTTTTTAACCTTTACGGTTTTTTTATTTTTGTAGGCACTACTGGAATATTTACTATTCTTTGGCTTTTTAATTGATGAATCAATAACATTAGATAGTTTATTGATTTGAGAATTATCTGGTTTATTTACATAATTAGTTTCCCCGTGGCAAGACTGGTGGTCTGATAAAACAGTAACATTATTAAATTTTTGTAAAGAAGTGTTGTTTTCTTGATTGATATATTGTTCATGTAATAAATCATTTTTAGTTGAACGTAATAACATATTGGTGGTATTTTTGCAGAATTCACTTTTGTGAGAATGTTCCGCCGTATTATTTTTCGGTTGGTTAACTATACAAAATTGTTTATAACTTTTTTTAGAAATATATTGATTACTTATACTACTTTGCGGCATAAAATTGCTTTCTGAAGTCATTGAAAACATTTTAGTACTTAAATTATAATCCACATTATTATATCCGTTATTGAAACTTTCATCTATGAAATCTGTCAAATCATCTAATATATTAGAGTTAGATAAGTTTTCATAAAAATTTTTATCTCCTATTTTAGTTGGTTCTTGATTCTTTTGTTGTGTCTCTTCATTTTCACATAATTCTTTTAAAATATCTGATGTATTTTCTAGTTCTGATAATAAATTAACATCTAACATTTGTGTTGAACAAAAAATTGTCTTTAACCAAAATAACATTTAACGGCTAAAATATTTATAAAATTTATCTAATCAACAATTTGAATGTTTATTTGTATTTTATGTTATTAATCTGATAAAACGATGTTGATATGATATGGCATACTACGACAAAAAAGTATATTTTAAAAAAAATAAATTAAATTTTTATAAAAAATTTTACTTTGATAAATAAAAAATCCTGCAGTAAAAAATTCTATGTTGAAAAAAACAAATACAGAAATATGATATGGGAAAGCAAATTATATAAATATTTCTTTCATACCTATATTTGTTGTACTCATGATGAACAATCATAAGCAAATTGTGTGTTTTAACATTTCATACGTATGAACACCGATGTGTTTTCTTAATCTCAAGCATAATTTAAAATGTTATTTTTTATTTAAATAAACCAAATAAATATGCATAATCTAGCCTAATTGCTAACAACTTCCAAAAATATTAAAACTTTATCAAAAAAATATTTTTAAAAAGCGA